TAGTGAATGAAGGGATAGAGCTCAGAGAGAGAGAGTGTTAATTTACACAGACTGCTTGCAAAGCACAGAGGCAGCCATTTCCAAAAGGAGCCATGAGGAGATGAAGAGGACAAAAAATAGACTATGTTTACAGTTGCTGTGTTCGTATACAGCAACTGCATTTGCCTGCTTCATCTAAACTCAGTGTACATGGCTTTTTCTTTTCTTTTTCTAATACCTCCATAAATTATTGAAATGGGCTGTAAGCAAAGAGACTTCTGTGACAGCAGACTCAACACTGCAGACTGAATTTTATGAATGGACTATAAAATGCAGGCCATGATGAAGAGTAACAATGCATTGAATAGCTGAGAGCTGTATCTGCTCTGCTGTTATAAAGTGGTACCTAAGTGTTCCCACTAATCTCTTTTACTCTTTTTGATGTTTTTTTAGCACTACATGTCTATTATGCCTGAGCTACTTGCACTCTAAAGTGACATTTCTGTTTCTCATTCCATTTTCCAATAAGAAATCCCCACCTCTAATGAAGAAATAATTCAATCAATGAAATGCAAAATATGTAAAAATCCAAGGAAAGCAAAACCATACCTTTTTTGTTTGTGGTAAAATACTTTGAATCGGTCATGGTTGCACGTTTCCTTTATGGACCTGCAGGAGAAAAAAAAAGAGCAGAACAAAGATAAATTTTTATGTAACACACATTAAATGGTTGAAAATGTGTACACAGTCACGCAATACTAAGGCCTTGTTCACACCAAATGCAGACCAGGTCCGGTCAGGTTTCTGCACACGCAGTGCAGTGGGTTGTGCCGCGTTTTTGATGCGTTTAGGGCCGGTTTTGGTAAAAAAAAAAAATGTTTTTAAGTTTAACATGGGCTTTCAGGCACTTGCATGCGTTTTTGCGTTTTAGATGCGTTCCAGACCAGATCCAGAGCAGGTAAAATAGGGCTTGCCGCAGTTTTTTCATCCGGTCTGGATCCGCACGGTGCGATGTGAACTGGAGGTCAAAATACCATAGGAATACATTGGACGCAGTTTTGATCCGGTCTGCACCTGCTCTGGTCCGGATCTGCTCCGCGCTTGGTGTGAACAAGGCCTTATGCATACACTGACTAAACTTACTATAATGCTGGGAATGTCATGCACCTAATGAAGATGATTTTATCAACATACAAATCCAATCTCCTAGGCCTCATTCACATGGAGCGTGTTACCCTGTACATCGTTAAGGAATGGTTTTTAATGTGGAAAAAGTGTGTGGGCAGCTCATGTAACAATGTAGGCGCAGAAGCTGGGCACCCTCACACGCTGCTTCCTGCAGCTCAGAGTTTTGACAGATACACACAGATGGTGAATGGCCTTGGACGCATATATGATAGACCCAGGTCCACACAATGTCTGTGAGTGGCTGACAAAAAACTCAGCACTGCATATGGACAGAGCTTAGTCACTGAAAACATAATATTTCAGGGGGTCCATTTATAAAAGTTCAGCCTGGTTTATAGTCAGACAAATGCTGTTCACACAGCACTAGCACCCCTAGATTGCACTGAGAAGTAGGGCTCCAACCAAATAATCGATATGTTGGGTGGATACCCTAGCTCTCTCCTCCATGCTGGGAGGAGGGCACAGCAAGCAGTGGGCGGGTCCAATAGCCAGCCTGCTATTGGCTATTGCAATTTGAAATGGCCAATAGTAGGCTGGTTATTGCACCAGCCCACTACCTGCTGTATTTACATTCAGCTGCCATCTGCAGAATCTTGCTACTGGCAGCTGTCATTCCCTGGCTGAAGCTATTCTTCAAGCGCCATGTGCTTACAATACAATTATTTTAAAAAAAAATACAAAATTGTGGGGGTAGCCCCACTGCAAGGATTGAGAAATACATTTCCCAGAGTTCTTCTTTAAATAACCACAAAAGATATAAATATACTTTGTGTGCACCAAACACATTTCAGCTGTGTGTCTGTGGGGTAAACAAGAAAAGTGCAGGGCGAGTGGGGTAGTCACCCTGCACAAGACCAGTCACCCAGCACAAGAATGAGGCAAAGTTGAAAGCTTGAGAACTGCACAGATCTTCAAAAGATGCTTGATGAACTATAATCTCATGTTTAGCTTATTAATTTGTATTGCTATCGTAGTCCATAATGGGATGGGAGCAAGCTTGTAGTGGTGGCTACTTTACAACACACACAGGGACCATGGGGAATAGTAGTAGCCACCCTCCAGAAGGAAGGACGGTGTCAGCACCAATTCAGAGATGATTTGAGGATCTACAGCTACACAGCTACACAAATAACTGTGATACACAAATAAGGTCCAATAATGTTAATAGTCAGGGTACTTGAATGTATTTTTTAAATTTAACTCCTGAGTTTAGTATCATTTTATGTAAGAATAAATCTGCCTCTTACAGTTAGACAGTATTTTCTTATTCTGAAGTTCAATAGCATGATACACTTAAGCATTGGCATCCTTGGTTGTTTTGTGCACGTTTTCAATGGAAAGCTAGTTACTAAGAGCAGGAGACATTTGTAAGGCGTGAAACCGCGAGAAAAATCGCAAGAAAAATTTAAGGTGCTCCCATTGAAGTCTATTGGGGCCAAAAACGGGTGTGCCCAAGAAGCGTCTGTACTTTTTCTGAGCATTAACAGACACAGGCACAACAGAACAACATCTGTTCCAAGTGTTGAAGATCTTCTGGAAAAACTTCAAATTGTTCCACGGTGACTGATAGCTCGGGACAAGACCCATGGGCTTTGCTATTCACTCTACACAGGAGTCAATTGAAAGATCGAAAATCTCTTATTTCATTGATCATTAATTCCCCAAAGTCTCTTTCCTGTATACTGGAGAACCATTGCACCAACCAAACAGGAATGGCTGCTAAGAGTGGAACAATGCAGCATTATGGAAGACATAGCACAGTATTATGGAGATTCATACTCCAAATTGTACCGGACTTGGGCATGTAGGTTGGCATTAAAAATCTACATATAGGTACTTGTCTAAGCCACCCAATGAATGACAATGATATTTTCTGTGTCATTTTATGCCATCATAACCACTCATAGCAGAGTGCTGCTATTCAGGTTTGGACTTCTCTATTGCTTATTTTGATGCCAGGTTACACATTGTTTTCTTTAGTTCCTATACTCCTCCCCATATCCTCTTCTCTACCTGACATCTTCTTCCCCATCACCCTTCTTTAAATAGTTCACGGAACTGACGGATTTGTCATGTCGTGTAATAGGGATGTCCCGATACCGAAGCTAGCATTGGTATCGGACCCGATACCAGGGCATTTTGACAAGTACTTGTCAAAATGCCCCGATACAAAGCGCCAAAGCTTGCACTGTTTTTTTTTACCTGCCGCGCCGAGCGTCGCGTCACTGCTGCTCCGGTGGGTGGCACTCCAGGCAGTCGCCGACCACCTACATTAGGACCCCACCGGAGCAGCAGTGACGCGACGCTCCTCTCAAGCTCAGCGCCGACGACCTCTTGAGGTACCGCGATTGAGGCAACAGTGAGTAAGACGGCTTTCTTCTTGTTCACACAAAAAAATGATCTACTGCTGCAGTGCATTCTATATTTACTGTATATGTGCTACATATAGAATGCACTGCAGTAGATTTACAATTCTGCACTGCTAATATGAACCTGTTAAATGATCCATAGTACATGATATGTACATAACATGTAGTTGTACTATGGATCATTTAACCCATTCATGTTAGTAGGTCAGAATTGTAAATCTACTGCAGTGCATTCTATATGTAGCACATATACAGTACATATAGAATGCACTGCAGTAGATTTACAATTCTGCACTGCTAATCTGAAGGGGTTAAATAAACTGTAGTACAACTACATGTTATGTACTATTATGTACTATGGATCATTTAACCCATTCATGTTAGCAGGGGATAATTGTAACTCTAATACTGCAATGTATGGACGTGTGTGCTGTATACGTACTATGGATCATGATTTAACCTATTCATGTTAGCAGGGCAGAATTGCGAGCGCCTCCCACGAGCTGAGCACCGGGACGCGATGCAGAGATCCTGCCCAGCGCCGACTACGAGAGGCACCGCGTGAGGCAACAGGGATCAGAGTTAAACAGAGTGAGGGAAGCTGGCACAGGGCTGGCTGTAAATCTATTGCTATAGTGTACTGGACATGTGTAATGTATATGTAGTACATATATACAGCACACACCTCCACTACACTACAGCAATAGATTTACAATTCTCTCCTGCTAACATGAATAAGTTAAATCATGATCCATAGTACATAACATGTACTATGGTAATGGTATCGGTATATGGTAACATGTACTGGTAATTGGTATCGGCAAGTACATGAGGGGAAGCACTTGGTCCTGAAAAAGTGGTATCGGGACATCCCTATCGTGTACCCATTCAATTAGAGCCTGTATGCTGTCAATACTCTGTGTCCTGATATGCTGTACAATTCCTTTTGAACTCAATGAAATAAAGAGGAACTTCACCCCCTCGCCACACAGTGGTGTAGTTGTTGGCGCTTCTGCCTTGTAGCACTTGGGGTCCCTGGTTTGAATCCCAGTCAGGACACTGTCTGCAAGGAGTTTGCATGTTCTCCCTGTGATTGTGTGGGTTACCTCCGGGTACTCTGGTTTCCTCCCACACTCCAAAGACATGCTGGAATGTTAATTGGCTTCATAACCAATACTCACCTGCTCAGCGCATCCAGCATTGTCCTGCTACAATCTGCTGCCGCCGCCACCACCTTCTTCTCTCCTGGTGCAGCCAGATCTGAGCACTGTGCGTGCCTGCTCCTCAAGCCTCCAGGAATATGTGACAGAGCTATTCCAGGAGGCTGTGGGAGCAGGGACATGTAATTTCCCTCTAGGCGAGAACAACAACAGAGAGGGGGCGTCAGGGCTGGACAAAAAAAATAATGGATCTGGGGAGTGATGGTCTGCTGTAAATAAGAAAGGAACCCATCTTCTCTAATGTCATCGGGACATCTCAACCAGGTTCTACAGCCAGCCCCCTATGACATACCGTCAGGTCTGCCCACTGGCCGCTGTGAGTCTCTGCTCCTGCAACCTCCTGGGAAATGTGACAAAGATATCCCAGGTGGCTGTAAAAGCAGGGACATGTAATTCTCATCTAGGTGAGAACAGCAACAGGGAGGGGGTATCAGGGCTGGACAAAACAAGAATGTAAAAAGCAAACAAATAGAATAATCCGGCTTTTATATTGCAGAGCTAAAGTGGAAATGGGGAGTGACGGTCCGCTGTAAATAAGAAAGGAAGCCATCTTCTTTTATGATGTCATCAGGACCCAGCTCTCTCGGCCAGGTTCTACAGCCAGCCCCCTATGACATGCCGCCAGGTGTGCCCACTGACCACTATGAGTGCCTACACCTGCAGCCTCCAGGGATATGTGACAGGTGACATCCCAGGAAGCTAAGTGAGAATGACAGCTGGAGAAAGGGGGGTGCAGGACTGGGCAAAAAAAATGTTAAATAGTAAACAAATAAAAATATTAAACTGTTTTTAATATTGTGGGGAGGATTGGTTGCAGGCAGGGAGCTAAAGTGGATCTGGGAAGTGAATGTCTGCCTTAAATAAGAAAGACTATTTCTAGAAACGATCCTTTCGCACAACAAACAAAACACTGAATTTGCTGGCTTCAATTACACTGTTCACCAGCACAATCGTTATCTTTTCAATAAAGGGCAATGTTGATCAATAGATAATCCAATGCAATTAATTTCATATATTATATTGAACCATTAATGATCACAATGACATTACATGCATTGCCAGCATCAGCAAACCAGGAGTGATGTGTGGCTAGGACTAGTATAGGAATCGTTCTGCATACATTTATGGGGTGTCTATCAAGCACATCTGCTGCAGTAAGCAGGGCACATCTGGAATGACACCCGGGCGGATGCGTTTCAATGGAGGGTAAGACACTCTGGGCTCAGATCCCTATCCTCCTACTCACCTGCTGGGATAGCACCGAATCACAGTCGGGATGTAACTGGCAGCCGGAAGCAGACAAGCCCCTAGAGCAGAGAACCGAACGCACAGACAGCGGGTCCGGAAACAGCGAGCACCTCACCCAATGCACCCACCTGCGTTCCAAATACCGGATATACGTCTCTCGCCTTACCAGTGCGTTCCAAGCGCCGCGCAACACCATTGGGAGGAGTTTGTGCGTATCATTTACTTGGCTGTGTCCCTGCCATTGTGCGTTCCAAGCAGCGGAAGCTCGTAGAGGCGATCTTGTATCTGAGCCCAGAGGGCGCAGATTGTTTTTGGTTGTTGCATTTTGAGACCAGAGTTACACAGGGCCCAGAGATTACTGCACTGATTCCTTGATCACATAGTGATTAGTTCTATATGTGGTGGATATAGCTGTAATGAATGTAAATATGCGGCAGCTGTTATGGAACTGTCACTCTGGAATATCACTGTACACACGTGTGTAAATCTGACCTTTCATCTTTCCTGATGCAGCATGCCTTGTGGCTTACTATTCCTGTGCTAAACCTTCCCCTGGGAGCAGCTCTAAAGTGATTTGTGGCTGCAGGGAACAGCTGACATGAAGATGGAAAGGGACAGAGATTACCTACTTTATGACTAGTAAGTATGAGCTATCATATTGCAACTGTGTGAAGTTTAAACAGGGAAACGGTGTTGTGCCTTGCTCTGCTTTATGCATTTTACACCATCTGATTTAAAACCATTTCTGTGTTTTTATGCATAGGGATGTTTAAGTGGAATACTTTGTAGCTTGTTTACTGTCAAGACGAGCTTCTGAAAGCATCTGTATTTTAAAGATGGCTGAACACGGAGCCCACATCACAACCTCAGCAACAGACGACAGGCCGACCATTTTTGAAGTGGTGGCCCAAGAAAGTTTGATGGCAGCGGTGAGACCTGCATTACATCATGTGATCAAGGTAAGTGCCCTGGTTGCAAAAGTGGCAAGCTATGAACCTAACCACTTTACATCAGGGGTGGTCAATTTCTGGCCCTCCAGCTGTTGTGGAACTACAAATCCCATGAGACATTGCAAGATTCTCAAAGCCACAGGCATGACTCCCAGAGACTGATGCATCATAGTTACATAGGTTGAAAAAAAGTCCATCAAGTTCAACCTATAGAGACATCATGGGATTTGTAGTTTCACCACTGCTGGAGGGCCGGAGTTTGCCCACCCCTGCTTTACACCCTATCAAGGATAAGTCTTCCCTGAACAGGTAAAAAAATTTGTGCGACACCTAGCTATAAATGTCAATTTTAAGGCATGGTTAATATTGACTAATGTCATTCTCTATCCACTTTCTGTCAGTTTGTGACTTACAATAGCAGCATTTATGGCATAAGACAGAGAAGTATTGCCCGCTGTACCTCTTGTTTCTGCTTGGCACTATTAGCTGTTCCCACAATTAACTTGTAGCTGCATCTTCTAGTCAAATCAAGTGTTAAAGCTCAACTATAAAAGACAAGGGTTCTCAAATGGCAAGATGTTGGTCCTACTGTCATGCTTGTGGGTGTCAGAACCTTGCAATGGCTTATGGGGCTTGTAGTTACTCAATAGCTGGACAGCGAAGTTTGTATACCCCTGGTGTACATAATGTCCATTATCCTGAAGATGAGAACTGGTGGGGCTCATCTAGGCTACCTTCCACTATTGTTCTGTTTTAAAGGTCTTCAGAAAGGACATTTTAACATGCCAATATATTGTGTTCCTTAACTGAATTTCTGGAAAGTTCTTAACCTTTCTGCTCTGCAGCAAAACAGGCTATCAATTTAAGCACTATGCTTGTTCCAATCCTCTTCTGCTGGTGAAATACAGTTTTCCCTGTGTGCGGCTCCTCTTCATCCTTGGTATATTGCTGCTGATTTACTGTTAAAGAAAATCATATTAACTCATGAAAGCTTGCAAGCTGTATGGTGAACAGTTGCAACAGACAATGGGCTCTGTTCTGCCTTCAACAGTCAAAAATGATAGGCTTACCTACCTGTCATATAAAAATCCGACACGAGATGGAGCTGAAGCAGCTTAGACTGTTTGTTTGTTTTTTCTTTGGTAAAGCTCCTAGCATCCTTCTGTTTAAAAGAAGGAAACAAGCATTTGGGGAGTTCAGCCTCATTCTAGAACAGAAGAGAATCCATTGCCATCCGCAACTCAAGTCTGGAAGAAAGAGCCCAAATCTCTTTTAGGCAGCATCGCTGGTATGGATGGACTTGTTTCTTCCTATAGTTGTGAGCTGACATATTTACATGTTTTACATACTGATTGTATGTTTCCATGTTCTTTAACAGTTTCACCCCACCCTGTTTTGTTAATAAAGCATCAAGATTTCACTCAGTCTGGCTTATTGCAGAATAGGAGGGTTGAAATGTATGTCGTGCTATATGTAGGCCAAAGGGCAGCCTAAAGCGGGGACAGAACAGGCTCCATTCCCCTCCAAGTGAATGTCTTTCATTCTAGATGAACTAAGAATGCCTGGCTTATTTCTGTTTGAATCTGGCCTACTTGGTAGCCATAACCTCAGCAAGAGGATAATGTCAACATACCCAAAGCAAAGGGGTATTTACTTGTATAAACTGTATGACAACCCCTCACCAAATCAGAGATCCTGAATGTATCCTTGGACGAGGTGGGACTATCTCGGTTACGAACTAACTTCCCGTTCCGCATCTGCCAAACCTCAATAAAATACCTAGGAATCCAACTCTCCTCGGACACATCTCAGTTATTTGCCCTCAATTACGATCCCCTCCTTCGGAGAACTTGCTGCGTATCACGGACTGGTTCCATAGAGTTGATTACAAACAATGGGTCTAACTTGAGGGGGTGCTTACGGGTTTCGACCTGCAGGCCCTGGCTTGGATCATCCCAAAGTTTCGTGTTCTGCCTCCCTCCTTCCCGGTCTTGACACTACACACCCTACGTTTGTGGGATAGATGGGTCTCCACCTCTGGACTTTCCTCATACGCTGGCCCCATGACGCCCCTTTTTAATAACCCAGCGTTCCCTCCAGCGATGCGTCTGTCTGCCTTCGGTAGATGGACCAGGGACTCTCACAGACGTTTGGTGGTGGCAATCCGGGACTCCACGGTAGAACCCTCAATCGGGGACACGTGTTTGGCTGACAGTTTTGTTCTTTTGTCTCCTCATTCCCTCACCCTGAGGTCTTCGAAGCGACGCCTACGGCTTTTGACTCCCTCCTCTTACAATCCTCTCCCCCCGCCCACACGGTCACATTACTCTACTCCCTTCTCTCTTCTTCCTCGGAACTGCCGGGCTATGTCTCAGTATGGGAACAAGAGCTAGGACTTCCCATCAGTGCGTTGGACTGGGAGAAGTCTTTTGTTCTATCTCACTCACTCTTTATTGCTTGCAAGGCTCACGAGAAAAATCTGAAAATTTTAACCAGGTGGTATAGGTGCCCCACCGGTTTTATCCACAGGTCCCAGACTCATGCTGGCGTTGTCAGGCCTCTCCTGGCCATATGACACATATTTGGTGGAGTTGCCCTCCTCTTAAAGAGTTCTGGCAGGCAGTGTTAGATGTCCATCACCGGTTGACAGGTACAGCGATTCCCAACGACCCCCGTATTGCACTGTTAACTATGGTACCAGGTTCCCTAAAATCAGTAAAAAGGGGCCTCTTGAGGCACTTTCTCACCGCCGCGAGGACAGTTATCCCCCGGCACTGGCGTACACCTGTACTCCCTACCTTGGCAGAATGGACTATGGAAATGGATCGAATTGCAGACCGGGAACGATTGTTGGCGGATGAACATGACACCAGAGAGATACACTGTCACCTGGTCCGTATGGTTGGCCTTCCATGCCTCAGATGCATTCTCGGCTGTGGTCCTTCCCTAGGCATTCTGGGTTTCTCCAAGGGGCCCATTGCACTCTGACGGGGGTTGGGGGGGGGTGGGGCGTAGACAGGGCTCGCCTGGCCCTGGTCCCTGGGTTCCTCTCTGAACTGACTTTTCTCTCTGAACTCAGCTCCTCCTCACCTTCCCTTCACTTAGCTTTCCTGTTCATTTTCCTCCCTTCCTCTTGTCAGCTATCTATTTTCTCCCATGTCTCTTTTTGTCCCACTCGCTTCTTTCAGCCCTGGTGGTCTCCTTCCTATGATATCTGACTGTTCTGCTCCAGTGCATGGTCTGCCCTAATGGAAGGTCTCTCTTCTACATGTTAGTCTGGTCACAGTAACTGCCGGGCCGGGCTTATACGTCCCTAATTGGATACTATCTCCTGGGCCATCCCCAGCAGGAGGGTCGGCCATAAAGGCCACAAAGTGGCACAACACAGTGAGACCCATACGGGTAATGTTCCTCCTCTATTCTGGACCCTCTGGCCCGGGGATGTATATTCATGACTGCTCCGAGGCTTTGGACCTTTTATGTTTGCATTACTGTTGTACAAAAACACAAATCGTACAAACAGCGCTCTTGTAATGATGTTGAGGGGGTAAACAATGTGTGACCCTACATAGTGTGCAGCCCTGAAGCCCAGGAGGAGTGCCTGTGGATATGCAAACTAGAAACAAAAAAACAAAAAGGGCGCAACGCTAGGTGGGCTAACTGACCGGGTCGGTGACATGTCACCTTCCCTGGGTCTTCCGACCCGGTCAGTTAGCCCACCTAGCGTTGCGCCCTTTTTGTTTTTTATTACTGTTGTACAGCGACTTTGATTTTTGCTTTTGTATGTCAAGTTTTTACCTTTTAAGTCTTATGAAACCCTTAATAAAAACTTATTGAACTAAACTGTATGACAACCATGTTAGTAAACCTGCATATTTGGTTGGTGATGACATACTGTATAAACAATAAAATAAATATGTTAGGTCATGTGTATTTGGGCTGTTTCCAATGTATTTTGCTTGGTATCCTAGTTTGCAGTTCTCATTCAGTTATTATAGCTGACAGAGCAAGTAGGATAAATTACATACATAGTGATTTTTATTTTTTTTAAAGGAGGGGGGGGGGCGGGCAAAGAGACATACACAGAGATTAGTTGAAACGTCTAATTGAAGGTTTTTCTTGTCAAACTTTACAGGTCTTTGCTGAATCTAATCCGGCACGGTATGGCCCCCTTTGGAGGTGGTTTGATGAGCTTTACTCCTTTTTAGATCTGCTGCTGCAGCAGCACTATTTGTCTTGGGCAAGTGCTTCTTTCTCTGAGAACTTCTACGGACTGAAACGTGTGGTCATGTGTAGCAGCAGTGGGGCGCGTACCTTACCAAGGAGAGAGTATTGGAAGTCCTTACTGCTGCTTGTGCTGGTACCTTATCTACGAGTGAAGCTGGACAAACTAGTGAACAGACTTCGAGAAGAGGCAGATTATTCTATACAAAACCCATTGTCATTCCGCAAAAGGTGCTATAAAGCAATTTTGGCATCCTACCCCTATATAAGACTGTCATGGGAAGGTTGTTTTCTGTTTTATCAACTCCGATACATTCTGTGGAATACACAGCATCACTCTCCTCTGCTCAGGTTAGCTGGAGTGCAGCTTGCTGGACTCACCATAGAAGACCTACAAGCCATGGAGAGCCGACCAGAAAAAACAAAATCTGTACTGAGGTAAGTTGCGGCTGAATTTATTCTTTGATTTATTTAAAGAGGAAATCCAGAAATTACAAAACTAACCCTTGCAGTAGGGCTACCCCTGCACTGCAAGGGTTAACTGCTCATTTTGGTCTAGGGGCTCAAATAAAGCAGATATACTGTACTCCTGCAGCCTCTTCTCCCCTGGGCTCCGGCGGTCTAAGGACTGCTGATGTCATTAGATTTTATGCAGGTCCATTGACTTGCCTTAGACTTCAGGACACCAAGGGACCAGAGCCAAAGCAGAGAGGCAGGAATGTGTGCGGTCACAGGACTGAGGATCAGGTGAGTATATCGTCTTTGTTTGTGTCCCTAAACTAAAATGAGCACTTAACCCTTTCAGTGTGGGGGTAACCCCACTGCAAGGGTAAGTTTAATAAAATCTCAGAGATCTTTAAATACACCCTTAGCAAGCCGCTGTAGTCATGCAGTCCGTTAGCCACAGTGATATCTGCTACCTTTACTGCTGCTCTTGTGGGGGTGATTGCAGATCTACTATAAAAATGTACTTATGATTTCAAGAACAGAAAAGCAAATGGCTCATAGAATGTTATAGGCACTGCTTCTGCCCACACTGTCCTTCTTGCCGTGTTCTAACTTTTCACTGTTTCTATTGCAGCGTGGGCAGCATTGTGAAAAGAGCCCTTGGTGGTGTGTCCGTGACTCTCTCCTCCAGCCTGTCATTGGGGGTCTTCTTCTTGCAGTTCCTAGAGTGGTGGTATTCAACAGAAAACCAAGATACAATTAAATCTCTAAGCTCCCTGCCTGCTCCTTCTCCACCTATTCACTTCGAACTGGAAACATACTCCCCTCTTCTACCCAAGCTAAAGACAGTGTGCCCCCTCTGCCGTAAAGTGCGAGTTAACGACACAGCGCTTGGCACCTCCGGCTATGTCTTTTGCTACAGATGTGCTTATTACTATGTAAAAAATCACCAACGCTGTCCAGTTAGCGGCTATCCAACAGAGCTGCAGCATCTGATCAGACTCTATACTCCTGATGGATAAGCATGCTTCCAGCTTGGACTACAGATGTCTACATGTGGCCAAGAAGACAGGGAAAGTCAACAAATTCTAGAGACTACTGTTTAAAACAAATTAATTCAGGTACTTAAAATAGACGGATCTGTCAAAAAAAATGATTAACTGCATCAGTAAATAGATTTTGTTTTGATGAAGGGGAAGCTTGTTGTCATGCTTCTTCTGGAGATAGATCTGTAACAAAAATCCAACTACAAATCATATCTAGTGAGTTTTCTTACATCTGTTCACATAGAAGGTAGACTGACCATACAAGGGGAGGTTTTCACACAGAGCGAACGTTATCAGTGCATCTGTGTTACAAATAGTGTAACTATAAAGAGTACAAAGGATCTTAAAGAAGACATCTCGCCTTTATTATGTTCACACCTCAGTCACCTAACTCTGTCAGTGTATGTTGCTTTTTATCCCATACTCTATGTGAAGAGAAAACCGAGATACAGTCTTTGACAGCTCAATCCTTTTCATTCCTGACCACACTCTGCAAAGGAGATGGATTCCTGATTGACAGCTCTTATCTCTGTGCCTGCTCTTTCCAGACACAAGCAATGTCACACAAATACAGAGGGGGGGGGGGTACACGTTCTCACAGGATTCAGCATAGGCACTGGAACTGAAATGGGAGCCTTGTGGGACAGTGAGACAAAAGCGGTCTACTTTGCAGATCATGTTTGGGAATATAGAGGAGTGAACTGCCAAAGTCTGTATCTCAGTTTCCACCACACAGAAAAGTGTGGAATAAAAAATAACATCATACACTGAGTTAGGTGACTGAGCTGTGAAGCAAAATTCAAGGTGAGACTCCTTCTAAAGGAAATGTAAAAATTAGCCCTTACAGTACGGCTAACCCTGCACTGCAAGGGTTAACTGCTCATTTTGCTCTAGGAGCTGAAATAAAGCACGCACACTCACCTGATACTCTGATCTGTGGCATTAAACGATCACCTCTCTAGCCCTCTGCTCTGGCAGTAGACTGTCCCTTGATGTCCTCACGTCTGATGCAGACATGATGACTTCATGGGTCCTTAGACTGTGGAGCCTAGGGGAGAAAAGGCTGCAGGGACTAGTCTAGTTGCAGCTGCAGGCGAGTATATATTATTTTAGTCCCTAGACCAAAATGACCAGTTAATGATTACAGTCGGGTAGCCCCACTGCAAAGGTTAATTATTACATTTCCTGGAGCTCTTGTTTAAAAGGCCATCTTCACATGCTACATGAATCTGGTGGATCAGAAACCTAAATGCATTACTGTTTATGTTTTTTTGATGGTGTAGAATAATGTCATAGACTGAAATGACTGCATATGGAAAGATGGCCGAACGTGAAAAAACCACAGATGTGGATGTTAACCATTAAAAACAATCTAAAGCCAGCCTGTATGGACAGCTTTAGGGTCACCTAACGTAACAGCTTAAAAATTGAATGTTTAAATGTTGTTGTCTCCTTGCCTTGTAGTACAAGTGTTGTTCTTGTTAAATGTGCCGTTGGCAAGCAGAATATTCAATAACATGTGATCATATCACGCATTGTTTGTAGAAGGAGTACACAGGGTTTCCTTGAAGGCCTAATTAATACGCCTTAACTTGCATATACTTGATTGCATTATTCTGCAGGAAAGGAAACCAAACACAGTGAGGCTAATATATTAAAGGGGTTGAGAATCTTCACTAAGACATTTGTGGTCATATTCACCTCAGTTATCCAATTATGTAAAAGGTTAATTCCGGTTCACTTTGAATACTCAATTATGTAACTGAAGTGAATACACGCATAATGTTCTGAGTAAATCATATATTCTAGTGTTCTGGTCCTCCTTACAATATTGGCTAGCCTGTGTATCACTTACTTGTTTGGAATTACATTTTAATACTAGGAATATCACCACCCCTCTTCCACTTGCTCCTGTTGGCTAAAACCCAAGCTAATACTTTGTTTTGAATAGAGTGAGGAGGTGCCATGACCTCATTTCTTTATTCCTGTGTGTTTCCCCATTCTAGTGACGTGAAATCTTCTACTGGGCACACAGCAATGAAGTTCTAACCCTTTATCAGTCTATTAAACTGTTTTGTATTGCTGTCCACGTCTCAGTGGACATAGCGTAAGACACTATTTGCCCTGATGGCAATACAGTAGGACGAATATGACACTCCACTTTTAAAAGTGAGTTAATATGTTAATTTTTTCACTGATGGAAATTGCCTGGATATATAAAGATGAACTTTACCCTTATCTTTTTAATGACAACAAATCACCTTTATAAATGTTTAGTAATGGCAATCTAGAAACAGATACTTCTAGATAATTGCTGGCTTTGTATTCTTTACATACCCTATTTTTTTTTTCTGCCCCAGTCTTCTCACAGTGGCCATTTTAACCAAGGGCAGGTTACTAGATTTACCTTTACGCCCTGGAACTCTGGCACACCTGACTAGGACATGTGGCCATGCACATCATCTCAGGGGAGGGACATGCTTTTCCCAGCAATTAACTGCAGATGTAACTTTTCCAGGATGCAACACTTGGGTATGGCTTTGTCACTATTGCCCAAGAGGACCAGAAATTGAAAAAATAGTAATTGTAAGTAAAACTAATGTAAGATGATTTCATATCGGCATGCAGAGCTGTATGCTGATGTGATTTTTTTTAGTGAAAGGGGGTAAAGGTTTACTTTAAGGCCCAACTCTAGGCAGAAATAGCTAACCCTGTAGTGGACTACCAGTGGTCCTCCATTGTACAGAGGGTCAGCGAGGGCTTAGCCACATCCCAGGACCACCAGGGAGCAGAGAAAGCCAGCTGCTGAGAGGAATAAGGTAAATGTAAGGTAAATATGACTGCTTATTCTTATCCAGGGCCGTACCTATAATGTGGGGCCTTAGCAACCTGTGATAATTTAGCCAGTGTCCAACCCAGCTAACTGATTTTCCAGGAGCTGAGTGGTATGGTCTGGCTGGCATCCCACCCAGCTCCTAGCAACCAGTGACCTGGGTGGGATAAGCTGGACAGAGGTACCGTGCCCCGGGGGTAACTTGCAGCACCAGCACATCCCCCCAATCCAACAACCACCTAAGGACTGCTAAGTTGCAATCTAATGATTTTCTGGGGGGGTTAGATATGCTCTAACCCTTGCAGTGTGTGGTGGGGGGGGAAGGGCGGTTGAGTAGCTTCAAATGTGTTGAAAGTTGCCCTTATGAATGAAAGTGTTTGCTTCATATGAGCAGCATATAGTTATTCATTCAATCAGTATCTTCCTCTGATGGTAGCTGTCTGTACTCTACTCTGTGTGATGTAACAATATGATGTGTGACATCATTAGAATGTCCTAAATACAATAGATTACATTCTAATGTGCATGGCCACACAAAGGCATCTTTACAGGTGCAACAGTAGGCTACCCCTGCACTGCAAGGTTTAAGCACACATTTTGGTCTAGGGCAGGGGTGGGGAACCTCCGGCCTGCCAACTCTGGTGAAACTACAAATCCCATGAGGCATTGCAAGATTCTCACAGCCACAACTCCCAGAGACCGCTGCATCATGGGATTTGTAGTTTCAACACAGCTGGAGGGCCAGAAGTTCCCCAAGCCTGGTCTAAGGGGTAAAGTTTAAAAAAAAAAAAAAGATATACTCAACCAATTCTCAATCCCGCCTTGCTGCTCTTCTCCCCCCGCCTCCAGCGGTCTAAGGACCCATGTTATCTTCACTTCCTTTGGATGTGAGGACCCCGAGGGAACAGTTACATAAAGATCATAAAACATGCAAGTTGGTGTAAGCGGTTTGCTTTCATCCAATTATCTGCTGTATAGATTGACTGCTGGAATTTGGTAGCTGTAAGCATCATTCCAATTTTCATAATTTGCCCCAAATGAGAAGAGTAAAGGATGTCTTCTACTATGGTGAAAGTAGGCCTTGCAGTAATACCTTTGCAAGGCTTTTCGGTATTCTTTAATTACTACCTTCCCCGCCTTCAATCTACTGTAGGTAATAGATTTTCAAATTGTCAACACTGTAATAAAACATTTGCACTAATAAAGATGTATTATTTGTAAAATGATGCCAGGTTTGCTTTTTTTGTTAGCACAATTTAACCTCTTGCCGTCCGCCCGTAGTAAAAAAACGGACGGACGGCACTGCAGCATCTGCGGGTTGCCGTCTCCAGACGGCAATTTTTTTCTGCTCGCGCGCGCCCCCTAGCGGGCACGCACGGGCAGAAAAGACCCGATCAATGCACACACCCGTTACCGGGTGTTTCACATATAGGCGATCAGCGGGTCCATAGCCCGCCGATCGCCTATATGTGCTCGTTCGAGGGCCCTCCTTACCATCTTGTCTTACTTATATTGTAAAGTGCTGCACAAACTGTCGGCGCTATATAAATCCTGTATAATAATCATTTAAAAGAAAATCTGTTCTACGAGAAAAATGGACAGTTGGCATGCCTTAGGGCTAGTTCACACCAAGCACGGAGCAGGTGCAGACCGGATCAAAACTGCGTCCAATGTATTCCTATGGTATTTTTAGCTCCAGTTCACATCGCAGCGTGCAAATCCAGAGCAGGTAGAAAAACTGCAGTAGGCCCTATTTTACCTGCTCTGGACCTGGAAACGCATCAAAAACACATGCAAATGCCTGGAACGCACTGAAAGCCCATGTTAAACTAAAAAAATGCATCTAAAAGACTAGCGTGCGTGTGCAGAAACCTGACCAGATCTGCTCTGCATTTGGTGTGGCCTTAAAAGTAAAGTTATATCAGTGTCTTGCTGTGTGAAAATTTTAGGAACTACCTCCCACCACTTGCACACCCATACACTAACGGACCATTTTAGTTTGAACAGACCCTATGGTTCCCATACATATATTGGTCTCTTTGGAGGTCCTTCAGCTTCAACCAGAAATTAATAAAAGGTGCGCCTCCAAGCCCACTCATCAGTTTTAAGTTTTTCTTCCGCCTGGAGTGAATCAGTTGGTGTGTGGGTGTGTGCATTTGACAAGTTACCTTTTCTATGA